GCGTGTAGACGGGCGCGGTGTAAGCCGACGCCGCGGCGGGACCGGCCGCCACCTGGCCGTAGAGGTTGGGGGCCACCTGGCCGTACACCTGGGCGGCGCCCGACGTCAGCGCCGCCTGGTTGGCCACCGAGCCGTACAGCTGGTTGGCCACGTTGGCGCCGTACACCTGGCTGGCGAGGGCGCCGTAGACGGCCGGGTTGACGGGGTTGCCGTCGGTGCGCGTGCCCGTGGTGATGCCGGTGAGGGCGGCGTACGTGGGATCAAAGGTGGAGGTGTTGTACACCGAGTTGTGCACGCTCTGCTGCACCTGCAGAGGCAGGCCGGCGGCGGCGGCCGCGGCGGCGGCCAGCACCGCCGCCTGGCTCTGGTACTGCTCCAGGGTGGGCTTCCCCACGGGACACTCGCCGGCGTAGTGGCCCTGCTTGCCGCAGTTGACGCAGGGGATCTTGCCGGTGGGCGTCTGCTTGCTGGGCTGAACTTTGGAGAGCTCCACGGACAGCGGCCGCCCCTTGAAGGAGGTGCCGTGAAGCGCCTCGATGGCCTGAAGCGCATCCTCCTTGTTCTCCATGTGCACGAAGGCGTAGCCTACGGAAGAGGAACGCCGGGCCGTCAGCGAGCGCGGGCACGGCAATTCGCGGCGCGGCGCTAAAAGCTGAGCGCCGTTTGGCTCGGGGCGGAATTTTCATTGGCGCTTGGGAGCCTCCCGTGGGACGCGACCAAGAATGGACCAGATTGAAGGTCGGCGCGTCGGGAAAATCGATTTTTTGCATAAGGCTGACCAAACCGTCTGGATTTTGTAGTCAAGCCTCCCTCCCGTCCCGTGCGGCTTATGCCTTCGCGGCCCCGCCATTCGGCAGATGTTTTTTGGGGCTTTAGCTTGAAATGAACCCACGCCTCTTTCTACGCCAACATAGAGCGACGGCCGTCGGTTCTTTTCATCACTTAACTCTTTGGGGCATGCCTGTTGATGGATATTGCCAGATGGCACGTTTGTTGGTTTACAAATGCGGCGGTATTATTTTGAAAAATGCGCGTTAAGACTTGCACCGCAAATGCTTGAAAGACACGCTCGAGCGTCCCCGTAGAGTTTAATGGCAAAAGAATCCAAATCAAAAATGGAGTGACTTAAGGGACTCCATTTTTCCTACGACAACACTGAGTTGACATTTGCGTTTGAGTATGATATCTTTCCGTTTTATTTGCGAGCCCGAGATCCAATGGAAAGATCCAATTTGGAAGCGTTCCAAAGTGGCGCGTGCAACAAGTGTGACACGTTCACACATGAAGCAGGTGCCAGGGGTTGTTCCCGCAGAAACGATTTGAAGGCGGCCGCCTCCGCCCGATACTCGTCCCAATAAGATTCGCTGCCCTTCCAAACAAGTCAAGGACACATTTGGGAAGCGAGCACATTTGAGTCCGCCGACCGTGTGAAGTCAACAGTCGTCAAGCGGAAGGAGCAACGTGCCAGGAGCTCCCCGGTCTATACAGACAGCCCGACAGTCACTTTTTAACAAAGCAGGCTGAACTCAAGTTTGTCGTTTGAGCCAGCAAAATTGCGACTGCGCTTCGACTCAAAAACCAAAAACAAATCCCCAATTATTCGATGGCATTTTCAGTAAGATATGCAAGAAGCCGCAAGACACAATCAGGGGTCAAGTCTTGGCTCACCTTTGACCTTGTCGCATTCCAGAACTTTGCCAAAAGTCTGAAAGAGCTGCTGGAGATCCTCGGTGGTGCACATGCCGCTCAGGTTGCCCACAAAGACTTTGGTGGAGTGCAGCGGCCGCCCCCGCGACTCCTCCACCACCAGGTTGCGCCCGCGGAACTCGCGGCCGTTGAGCTCGCGGATGGCGCGCTCGGCGGCGCCCTCGCCCTGCAGGTGCACAAAGGCGAACTGTCGCAGCACGCTGCAGCTCACCACGTGACCGTAGGGCTCAAAGATGGCCGACAGCTCCTCCTGGGTGGTGTCCAGCGCAAGGTTGCCCACAAAGAGCTTCACCGTTTGGCCCTTGTCCATGGTGCTGCGCGGAGGGAGGAGAGAAAGGAGGGCCGGTTAGCTCGTCGGGCGTCCAACGAAGCCGAATGGAATGCGGCGCCTCGGGCGCAAAACGCCCACGCGCTCCGAGCGGCCGGCCCGACGCCCGCCGCTTGTGCAAACCGTTAGCGCACAACACGGAGCCGAGTGTTCTCCGGAGGCTCCGCTCCAGACCGTTCCGACGGGCGCCAGTGGTGTCGGCGTACCGAAATCGGGGCTCCCGTACGATACTCGCCCACGTGGCGCAGCTCGCCGGCCCGTCTGAAACAACGCCATGAGAAAAAGCACCTGACGTATCAGTTAACGCTCACGTCGCCGGAAGCATCGCCTTTCAGCAAACCGCTCCAAGAGGGAATGTTCTTGTTTGCGCCATTCCCGTGACATCGACAACGAGGCCGAGCCATTCTTCGACCCTTCAAGGTTGTTCTCACCTTTGTAAGACCAATAGAGCCACGTGAAGACTGACCAAGAGAATACTTTGGTGGAAAAGAAAAAAAAATATGCAAATGTCGACACAGGAGCTCTCCACCTGAACTGCAACGATACTTTCCCTCGTGATAAGAATCCATCCACACAGCAGTTCAACCTATTTGACAAAAGAAAATCATTCCCACGCCGATTACAAAACAAACGTTGCTTCACAGAAGAACGATTTTCATAAAACGTGGACAAAGCGCTCGCGTTTTGTCCACGTTTTCAAGAATGGGCCGCTATCTGTCGTACTACATACAAGGAACTTACGATTAAAAATTAGGGCCTGAGCCCTAAAAAAAAAAACATGGCGCGTGCGGCTGATGAGTACAAACAATTAGAAGGCGTCAAAACACTTTTTTCTTTTTTCCACCCCAGATGAATTTCAAGGGCCGTCATTATTGGCAACTTTTGATATTTGAGGTTATGTGTAAAATCCAGGGCAATTCCTTGCACAACTTGCATTGCTCACCCAAGCATCGGCCTATTCAGCTGACCAAACTTTTTGTGTTAGCCTTGGTGGCTGCCCCACTGCCGCGTGGTGTTCCACAGGGCTCAATTCTGGGGCCTCTGCTGTTCTCAGCGGGTTGGTTCCAGGAGCCCTTGTATATCCCATCCTGCGAACTCCTCATCGCCTTCGCAGCCTCGAACTTGGGTCTTAAACTGGACAGGGGGTTGAAATTGGAGCGGCAAATTGGAGCCGTTATCAAATCCAGCTTCTTTCATCTACGGCGACTGACTCAAGCCAAACCTCTCTCTCTTTTTTTCCTTCTTCAAGCACTTGGAGATACAGTCAGTCATGCCTTCGACACAGCCCGGCTGGATGACTGCAATGCTCCAGTTGGTCCAGAATGCTGCTGCTCGCCTCTTGATGGCTACTCTTAAGACACACACGGGTATCCCTTCACTGGCTCGTTTGAGAGTTCTTTTGAAGATCCTTTTATCCGTTTCCAAATCTTTAAATGGCCTTGCCCAGCCGTACCTCTCCGAATGCCTGCCCGGTGCCTCGGGTCTCCGGAGCAGACACGACGAGAGGCGCCGAGGGGATGGAGCCTTTTTCCGTTGCCGCTCCTTCTCTTTGGAATGAACGTTCGGCTAGCCGCCTCACCGCCCATCTTTAAATCTCGTCTTAAAACTCAGTTTTAGTATTGGGGTTTCGACTCAGCAAGAGTTGGACCGTTTTTGTGCTTTCTACGGTCTTTGTTATCAATGTATTGTTGTTGTATGGCCACGTCACCAATGACAAGATGAAATGGGGAGCGCCGGCGCAGTAAATATTTGCCACGGTTGCCACCCGGGCAAAAGGCCAGCCAATTTGTCTGTCGCAAAATCTGCGTGAAAAATCCGTGGCAACAAAGTACAAATGTCCGTTTGCGAACCATCCTACCATTTTCTTCTGGGCCACTTGTGCATGTGATTGGTTACAATCTTAACACAAGGTTCCTTGAAAGAAGGAAAAAAAAAAAACAAAACAGCTCATCAATCCGCTGACGCACCGTTGACATATGCTGGTGTCGTTGAAGCTAGCGATAGCAAGCTAGCAACCCTGCTGGGGTCCTGAATAGAAGAACGCGCAAGTATTTAGTTAACACCCAACACCAAGTATGCCAAGTCGCACAAAACAACTTTGAATCAGCCATCACGCATCAAATCCCCCCCCACCCAAAAAAAAGGATGAGTGACGATGACACAACGAAACAATGGGAGAAGCGCCATCAAACCTTTGACACTTTAAGGACAATGGGAAGAAGGATACTCAGTCAGAAATTATTTTTCTCAAAGTGATTCTTATTTTTTTGGGGGGTGGGGGGGATAATTTACAATAGTCACTTCTCATTGATCACGCGCCAACATATTGTCATGATTTTTGAGAGGGGGATCGCAGCCTTTTCAGACTTGAGGGCGACGTGGGAACCCCGGCGTTGTAGTGTCGACTTAAGTTGAAATCTTTCACACCGCTACTTCGCATCTCGAAGGAACCGATGCAAGATTTCAATTCATTTCACAGATGCGCTTGCCATTTTACTCGAAAGCCAATTTTCATCACCTCATCTCATCCTGGCTCTCTTCTTCTCTGATGGAGTACAATCTTCGGGTCGGAGGTGTTCTTCAACGTCTGGTGGTGAACCTTCAACTTGAAACTGTTGCTCTATAGCAGTGGTTTCAAACTCATTTTTTGTCACGGGCCACTTCAGAGTTATGGCTTCCTTCGACGGGCCGGTGCAAAATCTCATCGTTATTACCCGTGACGATTTGACATTTCGATACAGATTTCAGCAAGAATCATGATAGTTGACACACATGATTTGCTCCCGCGGGCCACATTAAATGACGTGGGGGGGGGGGGCGCATCTGGCCCCGGGCCTTTAATTTGACACCCGTGCGCTACAGTCAACTTCGAGGTCCGCAGGTTCTCCATCACATCGACATTGTCAAGTGCTTGCAACACACGATTGCGAGAGCAGCTCTCCTGCTCCTTGCCACATGGAAGCGCAACGCATCAGTTATTCTTCTCATTATTATTATTATCATTATTTTTTTTTTAATCGACAGTCTCCCTCGGCTTCTTCAGAGCGGCGTGCTGATGACGTCACCGGACGCTGACTCATCACACTGGCGTCGACGCAAACTCGAGTTGGCGACAAAACGGCCAACAAACAACTCGCCGGCGTCGCTGCACAAACAAAGTGCGTACGTGAGCCAACAAAATATGGATGGGAGGGTCGGGGGGGAAACAGAACAAAACAAACGCCGTCGAAAAGTCGAGCAGAAAGCAACGCACGCACACAATGAGACCACTCGGCTCTGTCATTACAGGCACGTCGATCACGCGGACGCGAAGAACCGGAACAAAGGAGCAGCCTGCGCCGACATTCGACTAGTTGGCGGCTTCGGGCCCGACCCCAGAAACGGGGAAGCGTCGTGCGTTAGAGGGAAGAAACGTTCCAATCGACCATCTTACCTTCGCGCTGATACTGCTGCTCTTTTTCAAAATGGTCGCGGCCGCTTCCGCCCGACTGCCCGGCATTCAACGGGGAGGGGGAGGGGTTGTGGGCGTACGCACGTACATACGTACGTACGTGATCACGTACTTGCTGCGCGCGCGCACGCGCACGCGCGCGGCCACGTCAGGCCTCTCACTCGATTCGAAGTTTATTCTCGTTTTTGAACATTTTACATGGCACCGATCTCACGAAAACAATGTTCATTTCCACTTTGGTTGTTGGTGGGAACCAGCAAGAAAAGCAAATACTGTCCAGTGGTACGTTAAGCTAAATTTGTTTTGTATTTAAGGCACTCAATATCTGAAAACATTTCTTGAATTAAAACAAAAAAAGATCCCTGAGGGGCAAATTCAATTTACAGCGCCGTTGACAACGTGGCAGGGAAGCCCTTCCACTTTTGCAGGTTACATGATGATCTGCACCTTTTTTTTTTTGTCTTTTGTGATAGGGACGGCCGAGTGCTAATACCAGCCTGATTTTCGTGGGGGCTGCCGACACCAACCACAGATACGATCATAGTCTGTTGAGGAGTAAGTGTGTACTCCAGGTGCTCTACTATGGCAGTTTGACGCATTGGCAAATCAAAATCCGTGTTAAAAAGGATTGTCTTTGTTCTTCATTTTTGGCATTGATTTTAATGAAATGATGTATATCAAAAGTCCGAGAGCTATCAGTGTGCTGTGTCAATGAGTATCAAAGAGTGAATACTTGTACTGGCATCGGTCTGAAAATTGCGGTTTCAAATTTGTGACCATGACAACGTGTGGCATTGGGAAAATAGCGGTCAGCACTGCCGCCGCTTCGTTACAATGAATTTTGAGCCCAGGGTTTCATGCGACACCCGTCTGCAGCACAACTCTTAAGAGTAAGGTACTGCCGCACATCAAAGTTCATGTCAAAAACGCACATCTCATCAAGCCAGAAGTGACACAAACCTCGTGTTGATGTGTGCCTTTAAGGGGTGTGGTCTAGTCAGCGAGCGAGTTCTTCAAGTTGGCCACTTACCACTCCATTTTAGAGTCTTCTCCGTTCATTTTGTATTCGCGTTGGACTCTTTGTCCCACTCCCCATTCAGTGCCTCTGGTAGCGCTTAGGACAGCAGAGAGGGTCTTGAAACTCAACTCAACTCAGCTGTATCACTTGAAAACAAGCACCTCTGTCTACAAAGTGCTGTACATGGAGTCAAACTAAAACTCAAGTCTCATGCGGCGTCAAAAGCCAAAGGGGGGTAAAAAAGCGTTTTGAAACGAGTTTGAAGGGTCACGTGGCCCATCGAGCACTGACACGATGAACGGTCCTGTCACCTTTGTTGCATTCGTTGAGCTCGTTTTCCAAAAAGAGGGTCGTGTATGTTCTTGCGTATGTCTTCATTTTTTTGAACTTTGAACTGCTTGGTTTATGGTTTGAACCGAAGTAGACGCGGAGAAAATTGTTCAGACCTCTCTTTTAATGGGAAAAAAAAACCAGCAGTTGACAGAAGTGTCTTGAGTCGAATTTTCCATCAAGCCATTTGACAAGTCCAATATGGCGCTGGAACACAAGCGTTTGCCCACCCGTGGCCTCGAGAACTTTGAACAGGACTTGTGACTGTCAATGTTTTCTGGAGCTTTAAAACAGCGGACGTTTTGTGGCACGGTGACCGCTTTCTATCGGCTCGGCCGTATCTTCATGCGCGATCCGGCGTCAGAGGTTGCTGCGCCCTTTCCCGGCGATGGGCCGCTCTCGCTCCTCCCACAGCGTGAGTCCGTCGCAGGCGCACACTTGCTTGGGGTTCTGGAAGAGGCCCGCCGACCTGGCGATGATGCCGCACGCCAGCCTGCCCGCCAGCATGAAAGCGCCGGGCCTGAGCGCCGCTCAGAATCTTGGCCGCTTGACCGCTCACTTACCTGGCACCGGAGTTTCCCGTCAGCTTGGAGAGCGGATGCCCACCGCGGCCCAGGTCGTCCGGCCCGGCGTCCACCACCAGAGACCGCCCGATCACATCCCAGACCTGCAGCCGGTCACCAACGCCTTGACCGAGAGTTTGCGATATCGCGCGTGTGCGTGTGTGTGTGTGTGTGCGCGCGCGGTACTTTAAGCTGGCTGTCCTCCAGTCTGAACGACGCTCTGCCTTCAGGTCCAGCGAGAATATTTCCCAGATCGCCAACGTGCTGCATGACAACAACAAAGTTGGTGAAGCCCTTTTCCCACCGTGCGCTCGCTCGGTGCCAAAGAGGTGCGCGACGGACGGTGAAAGACGAGGACGCCCCGGCCGCCGGCGTGCCCCTTTTTTGACGGAGCGGCCTCCACCGGGGGAAGGAAACGTGCCGCCGGAGGAGAAAAGGCGCTTGCTTTTCCTCCCGCAAGTCCTCAAAGCGCTTCACACCGACTTGTCATATTCACTTACGAATGACGCAGCAGCAGCAGCGGGAGCAGCTGTGTCAGTGTCTCGCTGGAAGAGACACTTGGACGTGGTCACGAGAGGGCCGGGACCCCAAGCCACAAGCCCTCGAGCCACCCCGTATGCCTCCCTCCCAACGCTCAGGGCACTGAGGCGCTGCACTTCTTCAGGCTTTTCTGAAGTCGCCGCGCGGCCGCTCTCAAGTCATTTTTGCCACATACGCAAATAACGGGCGTGTTAACGGAGAGTCGGGTGCTAAGTGCAGTGTGAAAAGGCCTTGAGAACACCACTGACATCTGCACATCGACAGATGTTTTCCCCCCCCCCTTCCGCTTCATTGGGAGTCGTATTTTTTTCCTTTCTATGACTTCATTGTTATTTTCATTCATTGTTCTCTTTTGTGCTGCGAATGAAGCAAATTCAAGGAAGACAAAGTGCTTGAAAGCAGTCCTCCTCGTTTCTTCTTCTTCTACCTGCTGCTCGGCCACTGTCTCCCTGCCCTTTTCATCATCAGGACCGTCTGGTTTCGCTCGCTCCGACCCTGAGTCGCTCGCGCCTTTCTTTTCTTGGTCCATTTTTCTGTTTGTCATTCCAACACTTAGAAGCACCAAAATCTCTCTCTCACCCCGAAACTAACAGTTATCTCACACACACACACACACACACACACACACACCCAGGAAGGAAGATCATACCCGCTCAGCATCGCGTGGGCCCCCATGGTGTCTTCCAAACGGGTTGAAGTGCTCGCCGCAGCTGCACACAGATGACCGCCAACAACGTCATACAGGCTGGATTTACTCTGGACCGTTCAAGTCACACAATCTGGGATATTTTGCGACCAAGTAGCACAATTTGGACATTTGCCACGGTGGCGCAAAGACAAAGTCCCCTGTCCCCCCCATCACAGAAACGGGCCACTTCCAAAACATGGACGTCCTCACGTGTTTCACGTCACCCAAATAGAGACGTGTCAGTGGTTCGTAAACTAGGGTCTGCTGGCCATCATCATTTGCAATCAACTATCGTTGCGTCATTTACAAAAGTACACCAGAGTAATCCATCGTTTGTCGCGAGAATGATGTTCCAGACCGTCCTACGCTCGAATCAGCAACCTACCAAGTAGTGACCAAGTATTTCATCGACTATCTGTATACATCTAGTTTTTTTTTTTTTTCCTTTTCAAGCCTTATGTATTGACTGCAGTACGTGCATGTGAGGCGCAGGTATTATTTGTGTCCACTTGGGGTCACCGTGCTCACATTGTAAATGGAGTATCCGTCAAGCTGAGCGTGTACCGGCCTGTTGCGATACTTCGGAAGAGAGAGAATGTACCGTCGAGATGGCTGGCTGTTTCCTGGCTAGATAGCTTGAGCCACTTTCACACTGCAGGGCGTGATGCCCAATTCCGATTTTTCGCTCCATCCCATATTTTCATCTACTTTGGTTGACATTACATGAACACAAGCGACTTGTAACGCATCCGTGATGTGACAAGCACGCATACAAAGCGCGGTGTCGAGTGACACACGAAGGGAAAAAAATCAATAAGGCCACATCACATGGCACAGTGTTTATGGAAGTCAATCGGACGCCGCGCATAGGGGCTCATCTCATCTCAACGGAGGAGCGAGGCGGGAGCAGGTGGAAATCTTTGGGCATATGAGACAAAGTAGCTGGATCTCCTCATTTCATGGAGCCGTTGCCCCGCATAGCTAATGAACCGTGCGCGTGGCCGAATCACGACCAACGCCACAAATGGCCACTCAACGCTTCGCGTCTCAACGGCGTCCGCGGGCTTTGCCAACCTCGCCTGCGCCTGACCTTGCCCGTCTCATCGCTTTTCACCGCCTCAGTCAACTGCCGTTTGGCCACAACAACAACGTGTGACGATTTGCTATTTTGAACCGCAGCGTGAACACAGCCAAAGTCGAAATGCACGACAGTCGGCGACGAGCTCCCCCGACTTGCGAGCCAGCATTCAGGGCTACCTGAGGCAGTCGTCCGTGAGGTCGCCGAGCGCGTGTACGTGGAGGCCGTGGGCTCCGGGCTCCAAGCCGTCGATGGTGCCGTCGATCAGGCAGCGCTCTTCGCACAGCTGCAGAAAGCGCACCACTCCCTGGACCCGCCCTTCCTTGCCGGCTAACATGGCCACGGCGGCGCCCAGGTCTCTTTGCTCCTCGAAGCTTCCCATGCCCTTGAGGATAGCCTGACGATGGGTGCTCTCAATCAAGGCCTGCACCTCGCCACTGCTCAGGGATGTCTCCACCAGGACCCGTCCTTCGCCGACATCCACGCTGACAGAATAGATGCCTGACAACGAGAAAAAATTTGGAAGAATTCACCTGTGTCGTGATCACGGTGCGTGTTGGGGGTAAAGTGGGGTTCTCAACTTTCCAGGGGAGGATTTGATTTCCAAGAGCGCCCTCACAATCTCCTCAATGCCACGGGAATCACTTTGTTTTCCGACATTTGCAGATAAAGAACCAACTAAATTCAACTGAATTCGATTCAATATCGATCCGTGGTCCTGCGCTGACGTGCACTGCTTCCGCAACCATTAAGGCTGCCATCAGAGATTGAAGCGGCTGTGGCATGGAGTGGGACTTGAAAAGGCGAGGCCCAGCTTGTGAGTGTCGTGTGCCTCAGTGAATGCGTGGCCAAGCCTGAAACCTTGAAGCAAACTTCCTGGATGAAATCAACCTAAATGGCATTTATCCGTTACAGCCTCGTCAAAGCCATTTTCAAACCAAGGAAAAAAAGGCTTTTATTGAACATTATGAATGGGAAAACATGATCAAGGATGATGCAGCGTTAGCATCTGCTCCGTGCTCTTTACAAGTGCTTTCATTGTCGTCACCGGTTGTTATTTTTGCTGTTTCGTCGGAAAGCTCTCACGTCCACATTTGGTCGAGTTCATATTTTTTCAAAAAATTCTATCATTTTGATCATTCAGGTACTGACCCAAAGGGATGAAAAGGTCTCTCGCTCTAGCTTTAACAAATAATTAGGACTGCACGGTTTTATGTTATGTGTTGTGTTTATTATTTTACTTTATGTTAACTGTTTTGTTAAGCGCTTTGTTACAGCTGCCGCTGATGTGAAAGCACTATATAAATCTGCATGTATTGTATTGTATTGTATAACTACATTTTAAAAGTATGGCAAAAAAAAAACGCCGCATTCCAGATTGTGACACACGCACGCACGCATAAACAAACTTTGAGTCCAGATGTATTTTGCGGACCCCCGCTTTCCATGCCACAAACCACTGGGGGTCCGGAGACCTTGGTTTGAGAACCTTTTGCTGTAAGGCATAAAATGCACAAAAAGGGAGATCGTAAAGTCGTTTCCGAACCTGCTTGGTGTTCAAGAGCAGCTTTGACTTGATCTCGACAGGCCTCACACGTCATCTGCACCGCGAACTCCAGCTGAGGACGTGCACGTCAAACACACTTTCAAGCACGCAAGCAAACCCCAAAAATGTAACGCTGTGTTTTTAGCTGCTCGGCTAGCCTGGTAGCCGTCAAAGTTCTACATTTCAACGCTTACTGACAATAAAACGTGTGCTTGTCAAACCTTTGCTGGCTTATCCGTGTCCATGGCGTTAGCGCCTAGGCCGCTAAAAGTATTCCGTCATCGAGATAAGCTCAAAAAGACATTTATCTTTCCGCTTTTCATAAGCGGAAGTTGTCATGTGCTGACGCGCTGCCATGTTGGTCAACAGGTGATGAGGGTTTCCGTCATTTCGGCTCCGCCATCTTGGTGAGGTCGAGGCCAGGCTTTGTCATTAATTATTCTCTTCTAGTGTCCGTGACGCGCTACTGCAATTCGTTTTGGAAAGAACGGGATGGAGGGAATAGCTTCTGAGGCAGTTTACTGCGATCGGATTCATTTCGTCAAAGCTTGAAATGATTTAGATTTTAAATTAGAGGAGCAGAATTATCCCCATTTATCCTATATGGCCAGGTGGATTTTTCCGGATTGTTATTTTCGACCGTAAAAGGGAGGAGGAGGAGGAGGAGGAGGAGGGGAGCGGCGTGTGATGGGCAAAGGGTGGGCGAGGGTCCCCTCAGCATCCAGGGGACGGGAGGAGGGAAATGCGAACAGCGGGCCCAGCGGAGCGGAAATTGCGGCGATGATAAAGGTGGGAGTCGACGCGGCTGTGGCGGTCCGTATTCCTTTCCCCCAGAACACGCGTCGTCGCTTCGTCATGTTACGGGAGACGTCTTTGAGCGTCAGGGTTTTTCTTTTGTGTGGGCGCGCGCGTGTGTCGTAACTCGTCATTTTGGAAGGCACCTCAGGTTCTGACGAGGCCAGATGGCATTTCAAGGGCTTTCGTCCGGAATTCATGTCATGATGACAAAAGGTCCATGGAGGAGATTACCGGTAAATCCTCAATCGGACCCGCCGGCTGCCCCATGAACGAGATTGTGGTGTTTTGGCTTTGTTTTGTTTTTTTCTTCTTGGATGAAGCACAAAACGTGACTTGTGCTGGCCAAAGTGTCACCTGAGCTTGCGAAGTGAAACAATATCTCGACGTCAGGAACGCGGCCAATTCTTCTGCGTGCGAGCATCTGGGCTGCAGCAGCTCCTTGTGAGTGTTCTCATTTTGGATTTGTGTCTAGATAGATAGACAGATAGAGAGAGAGGGAGAGATGGATTGACTGATAGATCCTCAAGGGTATGGGCATCTTATTGATGCCGGGTTCCATTCTTTCTGAGATCTGATGTTTTAAAATGAAACAATATCTTGACGTCAGGAGCGTACGCGGCCAATTCTTCTGCGTGCGAGCATCTGGGCTGCAGCAGCTCCTTGTGAGTGTTCTCATTTTGGATTTGTGTGTAGATAGATAAGACAGATAGAGAGAGAGAGAGAGATGGATTGATTGATAGATCCTCAAGGGTATGGGCATCTTATTGATGCCGGGTTCCATTCTTTCTGAGATCTGATGTTTTAAAATGGATGGTATTTGAAGACGCTGGAAATCCTTTTTCGTGGAGTGAATGAAAGCCAACCTGTTTGTATCTGTTTTCAAGTTAAGAGAAGGAAATGCTCTTGATGATGCGTTGTAGTTCTTTGTTGTGGTTTCAGAAAAAAAAAAAAAACAAAGGTCAAATAATTCATTGCCATTGAAAAAATGTCAAACAGTTCGAGACTGGGATGTGACGACTGAAATTCGAGGTGATTCACGCGTCACGATGAGGCAATAATAAGCCCGGTGGCTATTCCTTTTTTTTTTTTTTTTCGGGTTTTCATCCATATCGGAAAGGGGATTTTTGTATTTTCTTTTCCGCACTGTGTAGATCAGATCATCCATCGAAAAATTCAACAAAAAACATCCATTCACTCGCTGAAAGCAAAAATATCGATTGATAGAGATCGGACCTGAGTACACCCCCCCCCCCGCCCCCTGCCAAAACAGAATTCAAAGTTCAGTCAGTTGGAATTGTCTTTACGACATGGAGACAACGAGTCAAGGTGAATTGACTGGACAAATGGAAGCGGTGGCCCGCCGGTGCAAACCCCGCCTTCCCCGTAGCGCAGCCCGCCGCCGCTTGTGAACATCTGACCTCAAGTTGGATCTGACTTCTTTTCCTCATTTCTCACGGTCGCAGCGTCAGTGGGGCGGAGGATGAGGATGCCCGCCAAGATCTTCCTGGCCCTCATCGCCGTCACTCTGGGGAGTCTGCTGATGCACTACGGCGGCCGCTGGAGATGGTGAGTGAGCGAATGGCTCCAACTGACCCCATCTCCAAATGACCCGCGCCTGCCCGCTTGGCCGCCCGTAGGACCGGCGAGCGCGTTCCCTCCGACGACAGCGCCCCGTGCTCCCATCCAGCCGGAGGCGGGAAGGCCAAGCGCACCAACGTGACCTTCCTGAAGACCCACAAGACGGCCGGCAGCACCGTGCAGAACATTCTGTTCCGCTTCGCCGAGCGCAACGGCCTGACGGTGGCGCTGCCCAAGCAGCAATGCGGCCATCATTTCTGCTACCCCAACCCCTTCAGCGCGAACTTCGTACACCCGCACACGCTGCCGCCGAACATCGTCGGCAACCACCTGCGCTTCAACGCCGGCGAGCTGCACCGCGTGGTGCCGGCCGACGCGCGCTACGTCACCATCCTGAGGGAGCCCGCCGCCATGTTTGAGTCCTTGTTCACGTACTACAGCCAGCACTGTCAGACCTTCAGGAGAGTGCCCGGGGGCTCGCTGGGTGCCTTCCTGGAGCAGCCCCTGCGCTACTATCGGCCGCAAGACAAGAACTCCAACTACGCCCGCAACACGCTGACTCACGACCTGGGCGGTGACAAGGACCGCCCCGCCGCGGATGCGGCCTACGCCCGGGCCTTTACGGCCCAAGTGGAGCGGGTCTTCTCCTTGGTGATGATCGCGGAGCATTTTGACGAGTCGCTGGTTCTCCTGCGTCGCCTCCTCTCCTGGGATGCGGACGACCTGGTCTACGTCAAGCTCAACATGCGCACGCCCGCCTCCAAGCGCCGCCTGACCCCGGACCTCGCCGGGAAAGTCCGCGCCTGGAATTGGATCGACGCGCACCTGTACGATCACTTCAACGGCTCGCTGTGGCGCCAGTTGGCGGCCCTGGGTTCGGCCTGCGTCGCCCGGGAGCTCCGCCTCCTGCGGGCCGCCCAGGAGAGGCTGCTGCAGAGCTGCTTCGGCGGACGCCGTCCTCTTCGCAGCTCGGCGGGGAAGATCCGCAACAAGGACCTACGGCCCTGGCAGCCCAGCGCCCAGGTCGGCATCTTGGGCTACGACCTCCCCGGCAACCTGAGTGTGGCGCCAGTTGGCGGCCCTGGGTTCGGCCTGCGTCGCCCGGGAGCTCCGCCTCCTGCGGGCCGCCCAGGAGAGGCTGCTGCAGAGCTGCTTCGGCGGACGCCGTCCTCTTCGCAGCTCGGCGGGGAAGATCCGCAACAAGGACCTACGGCCCTGGCAGCCCAGCGCCCAGGTCGGCATCTTGGGCTACGACCTCCCCGGCAACCTGAGCCGCCCGTCCTCCAGCCGGGAACTCTGCCTCAAGGTCGTCATGCCCGAGATCCAGTACACGAAGATCCTGCTGCACTCCCAATCCGCCCGCTACCGCCACAACCACCGGCACTGACTCCCCACGGCAAA